GGTCAGACACCTGTAGTTTTTTTTTCTTTCCTAATGTGGCGTAAAGATAAAGGTGCCTTTTGCCCCAAAATATACAAAAAGAACAAAACTGTTCTTTTTGTATATTATATAAACCAGGTATATAAACCAGGTACTAAAACTACAGCAATGGGCTATATGCACGCATAACTTCCGCGTTTGATGCAAGGATGCTCTTGCGTTTCCGGTTGGGGAGATTTAAAGCGGAGGAAAACCGAGGAAAACGGGATTATGGCAGAGTCTTCAAAATGTACTGTCCTCTCGTCTTTGAAACGAAACTTTAATACGTTTAGATGTAATTTTATATATAGTTATGTTTATTTAATATAATAAACAAAGAAGCATAAACAAAATGAGGGGTGTCTGTTTTGTCTGTTTTTGTGACTAACGTTTCTTTAGTATAGCAATAGAGTATAAAAACCTATATAAATTCTCGGTATAGCATTGGACTCTACGATCGGCGAAAGTAATCCAGCATCCTTAGACCTTCACCGGAAATACCGCCGTGCATAGAGCCCATTATAGTCTATTGTTCTGTTCTGTTATGAGTGCCATGTTTTGGATGCTTAATTTTTCTCTTACTTTTACTCTCCACTATCATAACTCTCAGGATTTTTCATTGGTCTATCATCATCAGTAACACTATACTAGAAATGCAATTTTAATGCAAGCCAACAGCATATTTTAATACAAGTCTATTTGGTTGAGTAGGCTAAAGGTGACGGTTCGTGCAATACATTCCACAATCACAATGACCTTAAAAGTGGTATTTGAGTTCTAACATCACTGACTTCATTAAGGAATTCATTACTGCTTAATCAGAAGCTACACACTTCAAAACGATTTTGACAATTTTAGAATTTTCCCAATATGTTCATCATGATTTTGAATTGTACACTACTGTTATGACATCACAAAGACACCAGAACTGTATATCCTATCCCCCAAAAAGTTATAATTGTTTTGGAGTCAATAGTTTCTTAAAATAAAGTAATAGAATTTATAGACTCATAGATTATAGTTACATGATACAGAGTATAGTTCTAATGATTTCAGGATGTATAGATTCCACTGAGGTCATAATCATTTTGAAATGTATCGCCTCGGATAGTGTTTTAGCATTGATTTATGTAATGTATTAGTGAGGTTCCTTTACACAATCAAATTGCTCTCGTGGAGCTCTTATGAGAAACAAATGCTAAAAACAGCAAAGGCCACTACTCATTGGAGCTACTCAAATTTTTTTTTGTGTTAGAATCTGGTTTTTGCATCCAACCTATAGTCATTGTATTGAAATGATCTGATAAACAATAAAACCTTTCTCACTCTGAAACATCCCTCTGTGATGGGCTCCTCTACCTGAGAAGAGTATTTTATGGGTCGCTGTGTGAAGGCAGGCAGGCTAAATGGCAAGGAAGGGAACTGACAAATTCTTTGAAGATGCCAATTAGACAAGCTGCCATTTAGATCAAACACACCAAGCCTTTTTCAGTGCAAAGCCATGGCATTTATCAGCAATCCCTGCTTGTTAGGAGAACAGGCTGAAGGCTAAAAGTTGAAGGTGTCCAACCTTCCTAACAGGATGAGAGAACCTTCTGAACAGAGAAAGGAAAAGGACTGAGAGCTGAGAAGAGTGAATACAACTACCCATCTGGTTATTGCAAACTCTTTTTCTTTTTTTGACCATTTCTCTTTAATCCCTAAACTTTCAAGCAATAAAAAAATAAAATAAAATAACACAGACTCTAGTTTTAGCCAACACATGTCCCTAAAGAGGGGGGTTTGTGTCAACACAAAGCAATTCTGTTTTTTTCAAACTTCACAACTCATTTAACTAGAATAGGTTTCATTTTTTTCAAACAGACAATTTAAGACTGAATGTCTGCATTCGGTAAGGTGGGTGAAATTTAAGGCTCGGCGAGTGTCTGTCGAGCTATAGTTTTTGTGGTGTGTTCCACATGTCGGCTCAAGTCGTGGCAGTTTGCCCAATTCAGCATGTTGAATCGGCGTCAGGGCCGTCGGTGAGAGGGGAACTCTGATTGGGTGTTCAGTTTAACGAATGAGTCAGTGCATGAGAATTAAAGCGAAAGTGATGAAAGAGTGCAAGTAAGTCAAGACGACACAGACAGAAGGCTGATCAAATGTTATGTTACCCTACCCGAGCATTCCAAAACTTGAATATTCTCATAACAACATGAGTCGCTTAAAATGAAGAATGTTAAAGGCACATTATGCAGAAATTGTGTTTTAGTCAAACAGTGACCCCGCTGTGGAACACTTACACTGTCGTAAATAGCTATCTAGACATATGTGGACATTTTTGGACTGGTCTAATTATCAACAATGGATGAATGAACAGCATCGTAAAAAAATGGCATACTACAAGCAAGCGCAACAACATAGAACGCAATCAAGTTTAGAAATAAGAGATTTAGGCTACTTAATCCATCAACAAGATCGCCAGGTCAGCATCGCGGTTGAATCCAGTGCTGCTTTTTAGCTCGCGCCAACTAGTGAAAGCCCGACCGAGTGGGACTGTCACAAGGAAATAGTCAAAGGATTCAGTTGCGAGTAAACAGTGATTTATTGAGCACAATAGTAGATATCCGTGTGGGTCAAAATGGAAGCAGACAGAAGAAGACTCAGGCTCGGCAACGCAGGGACGCAGTGGGCAGACACAGATGCAGGAACAGGTAGAAATTCCTCCGGGAAAATCTCAGGAAACCACTGCATGGGTACAGGACTGGAATGCAGGAGAACACGGCGAGTAGAACCTTGGTAGCCTCAACAACCAACTGACAAAGACAGGACGAGGTAACAAACAATATATCGGACATCCTCATTCAAAACAGCTGGCGCTGATCAGCTCATCAGCCGCGCCCGCCCTCGCGCTCACTCACACAACACGCACACACATAGCGAGGGCGAATCAGGGACTCTTTTCCGGTTCCTCACGCGGTCAGATTCTCTTTTCCTTTTCCAAGTCTCTTCCGACCGCGTTTTCTTTGCTTTTTCCATCGTCAAGTATCACGTCTGAAATGCGCGCAAGTGTCTTCGTGCTTCATATGTGGTTGTTGATGTGTGTGACGTCGTTGCCGTAAAGCATGTCGTGATTCTCGCGAGATTTGTCGGGGGCGCTCCTCTCAAACTTGCATTGCTGGTTTTTCCAGCGGCAACCCCGCCAAGCTTTGTTACCAGGATGATTCGCCCCACTATGAGTTTGTTTACCACCGAAATGACTTTGAAGCTGTTATATCAAGGTACAATTCTTGCATAGTATGCCTTTAACAACATAACTGATATTCAAAATGGTAAGCAAAATGGTAATGTAATGCTTTGTTTACGTTTCAAATATCTTGTATATCCTTGTTTCGGTTTCTCCTTTTGAATGACGAATATAGACTACTGATACCTGCTGATATTTAGTCAGTTAATTCCTTACACGCAGGCGCAGAACGCACGTGCTAGTTTGCAGTTTGCAGGCTGTAGTCTGTGCTGTGTGTTCAGGCGCAGCTTTTTGGTCCAGACGCAGCCGACGAGAGAGTTCTTTGAAGTCGGCTTGGTGTGTCCCAGGCTTTACACTTCAAGTGAAATGAAATATGGCACATTATGGTGGACTATTTCTATCTTCATCTTCTCAAACTGGCTTTTAGCTTAGTTATCAGCCCATGCTATGCTAAAGCCTTTAAAGACTGTGGAAAGGACGGCGGAATGGAATCCATTAAAGAGGCAGTGTGCCTTCTCTGTCACAGCTGATAAAAGTGATCTCATTACTGATTACACACGCACACGCTTCCTCCCCTACCTTCCACTGTATACCATATATATAGGGTACCACGAGGCTAAAGGCACACCTTAAGAAAAAATTGCTTTTCACTATTCTCATAGTGTATGATTGCAGAATAAAATTGAGAACAAAAACAGATTTTGTGTGTAAATAAATCATAAAAGTGGTTTATTTGGTTTAAAAATCGTCGTATAAGTGTATGAAGTGGCAAGGTGGGCCTTTTACCACACACAAGGTAAAAGGCTCACCAGCATGGGGCAAAAGGCACACATTATTTATACAATACTTTAGCTAAATAATATGTTTTTAATAATGTCTAAGTTGATACTTGTTCAAAACAATCACTTTAGCAAAGTTTGCACTATTTTCTGTTTCTTTTGATAAATAAAATGATTCATTTTTGTTCAGTAAATACAGTATACTGTCATTAAAATATGTTAAGGGGGTCATATAATGGTACATGCACTTTTACAAGTTGATTGTACTGAAATGTGTGTTGGCAGTGCCTGTACACAACCATCATATAATGATAAAAATCCATCCAGTGTTTTTGTTTTAATCTCCTTATATGTTTTCCCCTGCCTCAAATAGACCCCTTTTCAGTTAGTAAACATGGTGACGTTTTTTGTGGGCGGAGCTTAGGTGGAGGCAGAACGATCCCTCTGGCCGCTTCACTAACGTTAATTTGCAAGTTTTGTTAGCTTGTTTTTTTAACCATGAAAATCCGATTTTATCTTATTGTGCAAGGTCACTCGGTGTCCAGGACCGCGATTGTTATTTGTAAAAGTTAATTTTAACGGACTGAACCAGATTGGCTGAACCGTACACGCTCACTCAATGCATGGACGATCTGACAGGATTAACGTTAACGCTACCTCCGGTTGAGTGGCCTGACTTCTACACCTATCCGATAGATAAACCGAGCGTAAAACGTAATTCTCATTTGCTACTTGAATCTACAACATTTTAAAAAACATAAAATGTTAGATCAAAGTAGTGCAGAATCAACTTTGCACTGCTGCCCGCGATCGTGTCAAGGATCAGCCAAAAATCCACATTAATCTTGAAAAGCGGATGTTGTGGAAAGTGCTGCATGCAGCAAGTTTATGTGGAGGAAAATAAAATCAAAGGAGCCTTTTACCCCGTAGAGCCTTTATGTTGTACCCTATCAATCCAGAAGTAAAATGTTACTCACTGAGGTGGGGAATCTGGGTACATGATGTTGACTTGAGACAGTGTCTCCACATAGGAGTCAAAGTCAAAAGCAGGGGGAAAGTCCTCAACACAAGTGGACCTCAGCTCTCCAATGGAGCCACCATATGAGAGGCCATCTGGAGCTGTAGAAACAACAACAACAACAATAACAAAACATGTGAATTTCTGTTTCTTATATTATAAGTTTGAGAACTTTAGTTAGACTTTCATACATTGCAATGCAAATTGTTTTGTACGTTATGTATTGCCAAAACCAATATAGTACGGAGCCCCTAAAGGGACCTTTGCAAAAATAAAAATATACAGACTTTCACGTGCTAAAAAGAAATGATCACTTTATGTGATAAACAGATTTAATTTTTAGCTTTTATTCACATATATATATTGATCAACACAAATACATTCAACACATCAACTATAGTGGAAGCTCAAACAGTTGATTGATGCTTAAGAACAAAAGAGATATGTTCTCACATCACACAAGCACATTCAAGCTTCCATTTTTAATTCCTAAATTAAATCTGTGTATCATATAACGCGATCTTGTCTCTTCAGAATACTGGGATTAAACCGCTATCTCTTTATGCACTTTTTGAACAATCAACGTCTTTGTTGTGAAGACTTTTAATGGAGGGACAGAAATATCTCAGATTTAATTAATAACATCTTCATTTGTGTTTCGAATATGGGTTATGGGTCTGGAACGGCATGAAGGTGAGTAAATGATGACAGAATTTTCATTTTTGGGTGAACTGCCCCTTTAAAGCATTGCACTAGTGACAATTTAATATGCATAAAAATGTGGTTATGACATAAAACCATTTTCTTTAAAGTGTTAGTTCACCCAAAAATGAAAATTCTGTCATTAATTACTAACCCTCATGTTGTTCCATGGCAGTCTCTTACGCTGTTCATGTGAGCACCGTGATGCAAGCGTGTGGTGCTGTGCTGACATAAGAGCCGGCCAATACTGAGCCGGTGTTCTGATGTAGAACCCAGAAGTGCTGCACTGTGTTTACAACGTGGATAGTGTCAGAGACTGACACGGAAGAGAAGAAATTGTTGAATAAAGTCAAAAGCTCTCAGATTTCATCAAAAAGATCTTCATTTGCGCTCCAAAGATGAATGAAGGTCTTACGGGTTTGGAACGACATGAGTTTTTTTTTTTTTTTTTTTTTTGGGTGAATTAACCCTTAAAGGTCTGCTACACATAAAGACATCAAGGTAAAGGAACATACAGAAGTCCAATCTAAAAGATTTAGTCTAAAAAAAATTTATACCTCTGCATAAAACATACTGCTACATAATAGCATTACAGACACTACCAGTATTTGTAATCGTTGAACAGCAATGAGAATGTGAATGTGTTTTATTTATCAATAATCGCCTGGATTAACAAAGTATGCATTACATTGTGACACAATCACAAAACAAACTGCAGTAATGTGCCACATAAATTGTAAAGATCAGACTAAAATGATCATACATAAAACAATAGTTAAAGCTTTTCATAGTACAATTAACTCAAACAAGAATCTAAAAAATCAACTATTTTCATGATATAACTGAACATAGTGAAAATGTCACTGCATAAGATAAAAAAAATAAACCAAACGGTGACATAAAAAAAAAAAATAGCACAGAAACACAACATCATACAGTAAGTTTGTTAGATTTCAGTAAAAAAACAACAAAAAAAAACAATATGCCCATAACATGATAAAATACACCAGTGATTTCTCTGCTAGGACAGTACAATCCAAAGTACTGTATACCTAAATCTTCAAAATGCTGCAGTTTATAATACAGTCAATGCCATATAGAAAGAAGGTCTTGCTGGCATATCACTAACTACTGGGTAAGGCTAACTGATAGACTCAGTAGAGCTATACAAGGACAGGCTTTCGGCTGGCATAATTCCCCAAACTCCACAAAAAAAAATGCATTGAAGGGATGCTTAAGTTTCAAATTTTCAGAATAACATTAACAAAATAGTATGACAAACCAACTTGCCATGCATTTCACACAAATACAAATGCCACAACACAATACTAGACAAAACCTACACACAGTAGCTTCACAGACAAGGCTTAAGCCTAGTCCCAGACTACAATGCATGTTTGAGCTGTTTTAACTGAAAGTAACTTACACTGACATAATATTAAAATATGTCAGAGCCATTGTTTTGTCTCAAGATGCACATCAGTAATGTTTTTTTCTATAGTGCATGTTTATAAAAGCTACTTAAATTTCCTAATTTAACTAAGGCCTAATCCTGGCTTAATCTAAGCCCTGTCTGTGAAACCAGGCCTATGTGTTTTTGATATTGATATGTTATGGAGCCCATGAAGTTAGGTCACTGACCGTAGCTGGCACGCAGGTGGGGGTTGCGCAGTCGGCTGTCTTTGCGCAGACTGCCCACAATGATGGTGACGCAGGAGAGGAAGAGCACCAGCCCGATGACGATGCCAGCCACCACCAGAGGGGACACCAGCAGGCTGGCTTCATTACCCCCTTCTTGGCAGTCTGGGTACTCATGAGCATGACTGCTCTGGTTTGAGCTCGCTGAATGGAGGACATGGTAGAACCAGAGATGGGATTGTGTGGAGGTTCGAGAGAATGAGGAAAATGGGAAGATGATATGAGAAAAAGAAAGAAAGAAAGAAGGGAAACAGGAGAGAAAGATGAGACGGATGGTCAGTTTTTAAAGCAGTTTCAATAATTTACAGTAGCAAGTGTTACATAAAACACAAAAGAGACATTTTCTTCTTTCCCACACAGATCATAATGGTGTGGGATTATGTCATTTTCCATATAATAACCCTTCTTTGAGACACACAAACACACTCACACACCTACCTCTCTGTGTACCGCAGATCAGGAACGCTCCCCAGACTTTCATCCCTCAGTGGATTAGATTCTCAAGTCTGCAGCGTTAAATTTTTAATCCTGACCCGTTTTAATTTTTAAATATGCGGGTGGAAGACTTTCATTCTCAACTCACGAGAAGCCTAACTTCAGCCATTAGCTCCCCTCTGTCTTCCTTCACCCTTTCCATTCAGACCAGAGAGAAACCAAAATAAGCCCCCCCCCCCCCCACCCCCACACACACACTACAGAGATACAGTCAGATTCAATAAAGCCTATTGGGAAAGATGATGATATTAACACTCTGTGGGCTTGAGGCCTCCAGCCCTTCCGGAGATAAACAAGACTGAAATCAAATCAGTGAATCTGTGGGGCCAGCAGTGCTTGAATGGTAACCATATTTATTCTAGGGACAAAGGAAACATTTGGAAGTGTTTAGTGTGATCAAAAGGTCGCACAAGGTAAAAAAAAAAAAAAAAAACACTTCGATTTTCTCAATACATTGCACATCACCTAATTTCTTAAAGAATCTGAAAACAGTTTGTTCGAAGATTTAGTCTCTCTAAGCCCCTCCTTTCCCAGAGCTACTCTATTGGTCAAATGGCCCAGGCTGTTGCGACTGGTCTACTGCTTACAGCGCGTCAGAAATGAAACGGCCATTACCATATCTGAATTTCAGCTCCAGAGGCTTCATCAGCACTTGTATACACAGTGATGCGAACAGGAATGATGGCGTCGCTTTTCCGTATCAATTCCAGTGCAAGTCCTCATCCTTTTGAAGAGCATGCAAAGTGAATCTGCAGCAACACGAACCAAACTCTTCCAGGCCTCAGCTATAACTACAGTGTTTGAGGGCGGGTCAAAGTAGACACTGTTCAAGGAAAGCCAATGAAGCCCATAGGCTGGAATTATGCAAATATATCACATTGTTACTTGAGTATGACAGAAATTGCTGATGACTTGTTTCGGCAGTTTAGAATTGATTCTTTCGTTTAGGAGACAGCAACTTTATTTGTTGTGCACTTTGATCTTTAAAACTTTGCAGACCTTTTAGATTCACAAACAGCTACATTAGAGCAATGTAATGTTCAAAAAAGCATAAAAGGGGCAACTTTAATGGTTGAGCTATATCTTGATTTAATTGATCACATTTGAAAAAAAAGTTTTCTGCCTGGAATGATTGAGCAAAACACCACACCTTACTGATACCAAACAAGGCCACAGGTAGTTCAAAATAGAAAGACTCAACACAAAATAATCACAGTCAATCAAAAGACCTAGACATCAATAATTTAACACTTTTACCATCACATGTGCTTTCTCACACAAGGAGCAACAGAAAGAGTAACACAAAGGGTGTTGAGGTCACCTGAATATTTGCTATTCTGAACTTCAGTCAGTACTGTTAGCAATTATTACTTATTTTTTTACTGAATATATTTAAACTTTATAAAGTTCCTGAATCTTTTTAAGGACAATGTGTAATATGGGTTTAAAATATAAATACAATTTCAAAAAAAGTTTTATATATATATATATATATATTGTACTCAGGGAATGAGTGAATATCACCTGTGCTGCGTTGCAAACATTTGGAAAAGAAACTGAGGTGCTAAATGTTGGTCTGTTGTTATTAAACTTTGTGAAGGTGGAATACAGCAGTGTTGTTAAAACACCTCAATGCTCATGAGAGTCTTTAGAAACGAGCTGTGAGAAACACGGTTGTGTATCAGACTCGGTTAATTAGTATTAGTTCACAAACCTTTACAATTCCTTAAACAACAGAATAAATAAAGTAAGCAGTGCTATAGTCAAATAGTCATTCTTTCAAAGACACTACTGTTAAAAAGTTTAAGGTCATTCATTTCTTTTAAAAACAGTCAATACATTTATATATCTTTTGAACATTCTATTCATAAAAGAATCCTGAAAGAATATATAAAAAATATTAAGCAGCACTGATTTAAAGACTTATATTAGACTGATTTCTGAAGGATCACGTGACACTGAAGACTGGAGTAATGATGCTGAAAATTCAGTTATTATAACAGAGTTATTTTAAATCGTAAATATATATTACAATATTACTTTATTTTTCATCAAATAAATGCAGCATTGGTGAATGGTGAGCATAATAAAAACATAAAAAAAACATAAAAAAAAAATTTTGATTGGTATGAATGAATATATTTGCTGTCACAGTCATGTTCAGTCTGTTTTGTTTTCATTCATGACATGTGTTCCCTTTGTTCTAGTTTCCCGCCACTTGTCAGTCACCATGGTCAATAACTACATTCATAACAACTGTTTGTCGTTTAGTTAATCATCACTGTGTATTTAAGTTCCTGTCTGTGTTCTGTTTAGTTGTTTGGTAATGTTTGTGCACAGCACACTGTCTCACGCGTTAAAGGGATAGTTCACTTTGAAATTAATTTTTGATATGTTTTAGCTTACCTCAAGGGCATCCAAGATGTAGGTGTCTTTGTTTCCACAGTATTTTCAATTTTGATAATTATGATCTCTCGCGCGTGTACGTCACTCATTGTTTACACAGTACAGAGATTGTAGGTAAGACGGCTAATTAGAAGGGTACTAATTTGCGCTTATCCGGGATGTTTAAACCGTTGTAAAAGAAAACAATAAAAAACAATAAAAAAATCAAACAATTGTATGAGTGACGTACACGCGCGAGAGATCACTTCCGGCGCTTTCCGGCGCTTGCCAGAAAAGACCGAAGCGCCCGCGCCCTTAGAACTGCATTATATGACTGACAGACAAGAACGGTTTGACCTAAAAATATCAAAATTGAAAATACTGTGGACACAAAGACACCTACATCTTGGATGCCCTTGAGGTAAGCTAAAACATATCAAAAATTAATTTCAAAGTGAACTATCCCTTTAAGTATCTTGTTATGTGTTGCTTAAATAAACCCTGCGCTAATACCTGATCTTCTTCATCTTCCTTGAATCATTGCATTACAGCTACAGACTAATTCGAACCTAAGTTATTATTCTAACTCTAATTATTTTTGTAGAAGTGAAAATATAACTAATGTAGTGTGTGAATTTAGTTTTCTTTTCTCCTGGGTAATTAGCAGTGGTTAAACTTCACTACTTTGCATTCAACTCATTCATCTAAGTGTTCAGATCTGATTTATTAGCATTACTGTGTACTAATCCATGGGTTGTCAGTGCTGGTTGACAGTGAGGTCTCTAAAGACCACATGGTTGCGTCTCCAGGGCTACAGCAGCATGGTAACCTCCAGGCATCCAGCTGGTGTATGCTTACATGTCTGCTGTGTCCTCTTCCTCAATATGTGTGCTATTATGTGCTGAATCTGACTGAGATTGCATTTGGGAGATCAGTTCACTCCGGTCAGACTGGATTCAGTCAAAGTGTGTGGCTTATGTAAGTCGTCATGTCCTGCTGTCCTTCCCTCTAGCCCTTGCATCCTTGTCCTGTCTAAGATAAAAATCATGGCTTTATGCAGAAGGTCGCAGCAGACTAATAGGCAACTCTATTGCATAATCACAACAACGTATGCTTTTTATGCCCCTCTTTAGCCTCTTTTTCACACACACACACACACACACACGCACGCACACACACACACACACACACACACACACACACACACACACACACACACACACACACACACACACACACACACACACACACACACACACACACACACACACACACACACACACACACACACACACACACACACACACACACACACAAACGCACGCACGCACGCACTTCTTCTCTTCCTGCTCTTGTCATGCTTCCCACTGGGAACAATCCAATTTTGTGCCACATATTTCCAAAACTGCAGCCCACATTTTGTGTTCAACATTCTCAGACTCCTATTTTCAGTTCTACTTCTTTATTCAGTTCGTCTTCTTTAATGTCTTTTTGTAGTAAAAATATAAATAAAATAAATCTAGGCATTCTTTAAACAAGATATATTTTATAAATTTACTTTTTTTTTGACAAGACAGACAAAATATACTACAATATACGAGGTGAATTCTTACTCAGTTTTTCTGAATTGCTAAAACACATTTCTTGAAACCATGCATCGATCACTTTCTCAAAACCTTAAACATTCAAAGAACCTCTGACTCTTCTGGCAAGATCAAACTATTGCCTCAAAACCACATCTGTGCTCAAAATCAAACAATGCTTTCAGATCACACACACATCAGTCAATATTATAAACACTACAGACCATTCGTTAGACACTACAGAGAAAAATGGAGAACACAGAAATCCAAAGCATGCAGTTACAGAAAAAAAAGTATATTGTAACAAAGTAAACAAATTCCACAATTACATAAAAAAGTATAGTATTCAAAACTTACAGTAGTAAGGTGAATAAGTTGTATACTGTATGGACTGCAAATATAGTATTATACTGAATATATTATTGAATGTCTGTATATTCAGCTCTTGCATACTGTGAAAATACAGTGACCCAACTGCAAAAGCCAAAAAGGTTATAGTAAAAAACTCTAAATGAAAAGCATGTTACAGTCACTCAGAAGAGTTGTGCACCAGCAAAAGCAAGGTCAGTAAGAGAGATTTTATTCTGCTTCAGCATCATGTCTTCATATGGGTCCGGCCGGAGGAGTTTCTCCACATCTCAGACAATAGCTATGTTTCCATCCACACGTTTTTATCCGCAT